TGAACACTTAACAAGCTTCCAGGCAAATTCCATTTAAAAAGAGGCCATCCTCTATCTGAACACTGAAACTGCAGTAAACTATTCATCAAATTACTACTCTGATAGCCTTCTCTGATGACTCTTACTTTACAACATCATAATTTTAATTAAACATTTTCTACAATAATAAAAACTCAAGACCATGTAGGAGTTTCTCCCTCTCCTTCAGACTGATGTTTTTAAGCAGAGTGTTGGTAAATTTGGTAGGAATAGGAAGTTTATTTTTAAAAATCCTTCTGTAGAATCCTTTCTAACATGAAATGGTAAGAAAAGCAAAATTCCTTTACTTGAAAATTATGAAAGTTTCCGTTTACACAGTGATTTGTGTAAACCCTATAAAAATCCTCTCAAAGTATTAGAATATGATTACCTTAAAAATATATGTCAGTCCGCACAATTTCTGAGTTCCTATTCTAGGAAAAGAGACCGCACAGAAAGGATGGAACAATGGTATGGAAACTTACCATCCTCTCCAACTGGACTCTTTATTGCAGACTTATTGCTTCCATGTGTTAAAAAAAAAAAAAAAAAAAATCAAACCGTTAAGCCAACCCCAATCCCTAAAATTTTTGGCACTCTTATTGAGCATTGAATCCAGAGGGGGAAAAAAAAAAACAAAACTTTTTTTTTAATCACAAGCCTATCAGAGTCAAGATTTATTTCATCATTATGGGAATGTGTTTGAAATTAATAATAAAGGTTGGTTTTTCCAAGGCTTAAAGAAATTATACTATTTAAAGCTATTAAATACCACACATTATTTGGCCTTAATATTTAAATAAATAATGCCTATTTTGAACATTGCAATCTAGAGCATATAATATAAATTAATTAGAGGAATATTAAAATGGATGAGGTTTACAGTAATGAGGCACAGTAATGATTTTTTTTAAACCTGTGTTTACATAAAGCTGAAGAATACAAACATCACATATAATTAATTTATATAATTTTCTGAAGCAACGAAATCTTTGCTCAAACTACACAACGAGGTCAATGAATTACCTAAATTCTGTCATCTTTGCACTTTTCTGCAAATCAGGGTGCACAATGGAATGCGTAAGTCCCTAAAAGCAGTCTATCTCCAACTTCCAGTGTATGTCAAATGAAAGAAGGAAAAAGTTCCCTCACCCCCAAAGTGAGAACAGATGGGAATGTAAAATTAGATGGGAAGAGACAGTGAAGCTTTGGATGACCGACCAAGAAATCTTCCCCAGGGGTGGGGGGCCAAATATACCAGACCTCTTTTTGTTCTGCCTCCCAGTTAACTTCCAAATTCAATCCAATAGGAATGCAAAGCAGTTCTTAGATTCGATGCATTGGTTTTGATTTCTGTAAGCATTCATATAAATTTCACAAAGAAGCTACTGACAAATCCATTTTAAAAATGCTATGTTTAATCACTTCCGTGAGTTTAACATGACTTCGAACTAAGCCTGTTAACAATGAGTATTTTTTTAATAAAATAAATGGCTTTAGGAAAAGGGACAACGGGCAAGAACAAACAAGATGTGGACAATGAATTCCTTGTATGATGGAGGAGTCATCTGCCATAAATTGAAAAGTTATGTAAATAAAGTAGGAATACATTTCATATTCATTCTTGTCATATTTTATCTGTACAACTAAAAAAAAAAAGCTTAATAGTAATGCAGGCAATACTTCCTATACCTAGCAGAAAAATGTTCTACTGATATTCAATCTTATACAGCATGATATAATTTTTCCATCTAAAAATACCAACTATAAACTTGAAAGAATACTCCCTATAGTGCCTTCTTGTCTTCAATATTTTTTATGTTTAATAGGGGTAATAATTTAAAACTGAAGGGAAACTGAAAATGGTGCTCTCAGATTCAAATGTACTTAAAAACACTAGTTTTATTGTGAATCTCTATTCTCTTAAAATACTGTGATATTAAAAGCAATTTTTTGTAAGATTAACCATGACCTTTTGAAGAACTACCAGAGATCTTCCAGAAAATAGTGCTTGTGGAGCAGATTTTTGGGTGTGTGCTCAATTTTTATGTAAAATTTTCATCCATTGATACAATAATGAAAATAACTCAGTATTTTAATCAATAGTGCTCAAAATTTATAGATCATTCTCATCCATAATTTCAAACTTGTTTTCCAAGACAATATAAGTTCTCTGTGTACCTTTTCCCTGCTGTCCCAAAAAAACTGGCTTTCAAGACCTTAACCCTGTTTTACCTTTTTTTAAATCTTACATTGTAGTTTATACAACAAAAAGAAATATAGAAATATGAATCATTCCAAGTGGTGAAAGCAACTGTACCTCACACTTAAGTAATTTCAGTTTAAACAATCCAAGGCAGTGGTAACGTGATAGAGGTTTCACTTATAACAGGGAATGAGGCCTTCCATAAAAAAGATGCTCAGTATAGGACACTGTACTTAGTTGAATATGTGCATGAAATAATTACTGAAAAGCACATCTTATTCTTCAGATTACTCTGAGTTATGCGCAAACATTATTACCGAAAAAGGGAAAAAAAAATCTCTCAAGGTGTCTTTTTTTTTCCCCCCTCTCTTATCAATACATAAAAGTCACAATAGGCAAACATTTGGGGATACTGTGTGGATTTTATTAAAATCCATTTTCCATACTTTACTCAAGCAGAAACACCTGTATTTTCAAATTCATCCTCATCCTAATAAATCCAAATACTAATCCCCCAAAACATCAAATGCTGATCCCTCTACATTATTGCCTTAATTCATTTTATAGTTAGTTGGTTGAGTGATTTTTAACATGGAACACAGAACTTTTTATAATAAAGTTAAAACTTCTATTTTCCTCTTGGGTCTCGGGGGAACTTTGAATAAAGAATGCATATGCACAAACTCAACATTTACTTAAGACTCCTGTCCTAGCTCCAGATCTTCCACTGTCCTTTTAAACTGGGTGAGTCCAACACACTCTGGACAACAACCACTAGTGTGTAAAAGGAATGGGGTCAGATTAGGTCACGATTTCTCAGGCTGTAGCCTGCAGACACCTATGGGCATATTCTTGGGAGTCAGAGAGGGTTACATGGTGTCTTCATGTTATGCCATAAACATAATTATATTTCGGATAATCTCATTCACAACTTTTACCACCGATCATTATCACATAATTTCAGGATCTGATTTTAACACAGTGGTTATGATCTTATTCGTGTGAGCTTTTTGTAATGACTGTGTTTAACTCGTAATAAGGTGTTCCTCAAACTGAAATTCACAAATGTATTCTTGAAGCCTGATATTTTTCTGTTAACACAAGTCCACGTACTATTGAAGACTGATAGACATTAAATCAGATGATCTTTCTAATTCTTTTCAAGTCTGAAAAATATGTTACATTCTACTGCTGCTTACTAATAATTTATGGAGATCCAGCTTAAGCACACTTAGAGAAAACAGACTTCAAAGGAGGAGTTATAATTTCTAATTCTATGTTCTACTTGTTTTCTTTTTACATTTAAATGCAAATGAAATTTTCGAGATAACAAAATGGCATTCAGTGAGCAGAATGAATAAGGCTATCAGATCAAAGTTCTCTTACCAAGTCACTATCATTTCAAATGATTTAGTGGACTACGTATTAACTAGGAGTCAGAAAATTCCAGTTTCGCATCTGACTTAAAAGAGCATCTTGGTGTTAAGAGTGATTTGTTCTCATGACCCCCACTTTTTTTTGTTTTACAAGGTTAGTACATTATGCTACTCAATGAATAAAATGTACAATAAATACCAGGCACTCATGTTATATAATAAGTAGTATGCTTCACATTTTAATTTATATAATAAATAAAAAAACAAATCTGCAAAACTCAAATATTTGCTTTTCTTAATTTTTGTTAGTGACAATATAAATAACGTATAAAAATAACAGCATAGTTTTTACTATAAATTATGGATTATATCGATCTAGTTTTAAAAACATTTATGTTTAAGTCTGCTTCATCTAATTTAAAAATATTTACAATGCTGTCGATTTGCACTTAAAGATAATTTAATATAGAAATTAAATGTCTATTTTGGCACTGGTTAAAAATCACTGTTTACTGGTTAAAAGTTTAACTTATAAAAACTTATCATTACACATAATCTTATATCAAATTTTTAAATGATATACTCTTGAAGGAATTCTCAACTTAACATGTATCTTAACAACAGAATCATCTTAACACCAGTAAAGAGAAGTAAAATGTTTGCCAACTTGCAAACATTAAATTAAGATATTCTCAATTTAAAATGCATATACTTCACATTTAAAATAGCTATTGAATTTTTAATTTAAAAAATTAGGAAAAATGAAACTCATTTAGATTATCTTATTCCTATCTGTAATATAAATGCAAACAAAAGTTTTAAACAAAAATCCCTCATAAGGCAGTATGTGGGATTTTTTTCCCTAATTTGCAGCAGTTTCTACCTTTTAAAAAGAAGGTTTTAAACCATTTCTAAAGCATGGCTAATAGCATAACACAATTTGATTATTAATTAAACTAATAAAATCACTTACTGATTTTCAGATTATTTAGTGAATTTATAATATTGACTTTTGACAGATGCATTTTTTTGTTAAGGTGAAGGCTTTGAAAAATCTAAGAACAACATATTGCACAATACGTTTAAGTTTTATCAAAAGAGAAATAGCACATTCAGATTTAAAAGTTTTCTTGTTCTACTAGCAAACACAACTAACATCAGTTTTGTAAACTCATTTCAAACTTTCTTCTTCCTATAAAGGAATTTTCAGCTTTTATTACTTCAAGATTTCTTTTCTAGAAGATGTAATTAGACCATTAACTAAAGGACGGTGGAGTCGAATGGAAAACATGCATTTCCAAAAAGTGCATACTTTTATATATTGTGATAAGGAACTTTTTTCTTGGAATAGACAAGTGTAACTGCACAAATGTAAAACCGGTGCCGAAAAGTTACTCTACCTGAACTGTAGAGCTGATCTCCGACGCAAAGCCGCCTGTCAAGGGAGCCTCATGGCTGATTAGCAGTCGCCCTGTTTTGATCACAGACTGAAAGAGAAAAGGAAAATCTGATGCTGAAGAGAATACACGTTTTCAAGTATATGATGGCAGTTTTGATTAAGGAATAAAAACAACATATTTCAATCCAATAAATAATTAAAAATTAGTAATACAGTTTTAGGCCAAGTAAGTTGTAACTTTCTCTCACTGCAGTTATTTGATATTTGCACTGTTACAAAAATTTTCAATATAGTTTATAGTCCTACAAAAGAAAAATGAGATTTGTAATTCTGTCATTAAAAGGCATTCCATTATAAAACACTTCTGTGTTACAAACTAAATTATGGTCTTTCATGTTTTTAATCTCAAAATCATTTTTTCTTCATATTACCTTAAGAATGAAAGTGCTTTGTTGCGTTCATTTTCGGGTGTATTTGCATATAAACAAACAGCCTTGGGAAATAGGGTTTTGTGGAGAAGGAACACATGAAAATAGCATGGAAAAGCTGTAATGCAGGAAAAGCTCAAGCTACTCAATATTCAAGGAAACCTAGCAGGAAGAAATCACTGCAAAAGTACAAGGGTTCCAGCCATCTTTGTTCATGTGCATTAAAATCTGGTTAACCACCACAACTCCATTTTAACCTAGAAAATGTCACAAACAAAAAGATGTAGTTTCAATACTGGCTCAGTGTGGTTGTTCGCCCAGCGTGATATACTCTGTACCATAATAAATCAAAAAGAATAGCTTATGATATCATAGCAGGATGACAGCTGTGTTGGAAGGTAAAAAATATTAAAATCAATAGCAAGTTACTGCTTCAAATATATTGAATAATTAACATGTTGACAAAGAGCAGGGATAATGTCTCTGCTACATGTCTAATAATGTGATATCACCTTTCTTAAATTATACATTAATATTTTGTGAATATAAGATCTTCCAAGCAAATATATGTATATAAATTAAAAGACTGCCTTCATTCTAAGCAATTAGAGTTTAAAACCTTAAAAGGAACGGATGTTAAGCTCCAAGATGTGGCCAGTAGCCATGATAAAAATAGGTTATTGTGTCTACTGAGTACACAGTGACTTAAAAACATAAAATTTTATGAACACCTTAATGAATACCATCCCCGCCCCCAGTGAAATTCTAACCTTCGTATACTGGTATTTGGATTTTAGGACTGTGATCAGTTATGCCATTTATGAAAGTAGCAAATTTAAATTTTAACGCACCTGGTTAGAAATACACAGAGACAGAAATAGTCCACAATCACGAAAAAAAACCCAAAAAACAAATGCGTTCTCAAAGGATTCTCTAAAAGAAGTCCTGACCTAAAGGACTACCAGTTAAAAAAACAGATTTGACAACTAAACCTTTCTTATCGTTCTGAAACCCAAAAGTCTGCCAATGTATAAGTGCCCAAGGATGACATAGCTAAAATCCATCCCAGCTAGAGGATGCATCTTAAATCCCTGCGAGGTAGAAATGAGAAACTTCTATAAAAATGCTGCTGTTACCTTAAACCTCCACACAACAGAACTGGTATTTTTGATTTGAGCTGAGTTCTATCCAAGATCGAATGACAACCTTCAGAATGATTCCTGAAGGCCAATAAGCAACCAGGGCAGAGAGCCTGGCTTCCTATAGCCTGCAGAATATACTAGGGAAACGAAGCACAGATGTAGCCAGGACGAAAGCTTCCAACCCTTGGAGTTTATGCAACATGATGAAATCTGGAGACCTGCCGAGTGTCCTTCAGCAGGAGAAAGGCTAGATAAACCGAGACATAGCAATACAGTTGGATATTATGCAGCCACAAAAAAGACTGAGGACAGGGAAGGATGCCTATGGTAAACGAACTGATAAAATGAGCAAACTGCAGAACAACACAATCTCATTTTTACAAAAAAAAAGAATAAACAAACAAACACCACAGCAGTGGGGACACCAATATACATAGCTGTATGTCCTGAGCCAACATGTGTAAATAGTCTGGAGGGATTCATTCCAAACTACCAAAACTTGTTTCTCCTAAGGAGTGACGGTGAAGGAATTCTTGGGAAAAGACTATGTAAAATGCATTTTTATATTATTGCAAGTATTCCCAATAAGTCATTATTAAGTAAAAGTAAAGCCCTTGAATTAATGCTGAAAGTAACAAGTACACACTGTTGTAGTCATAATCTCCTCAAAAAAACCTAACAATTTTTTTAATGATATTTTAGGAGTAGCTTCCAGTACAAGAGAACCCTAAGGTCCCACGCTCCAGCAGCAAATAAGCACACTAAGAACACAGGGAGTCTGCCTTCCCTTGCCAGTCTCCGTAGATTGTGCTCCACGGCAGAATGATGACCAGCTGGGCTCTTGGCCCTTAAACGGTTGGACCCTACACAGCATGCTCAACGAGCTATTAGCATCAGAGAACATGAAGCTCTTCAACACCTCCGTATGTGTGTTATGTACCTGTGTGTTCTCGGATCAGGAGTTATGCTGACAGTTACAGAAGAAATTCCAGAAATTTCTAAAATATCAAGAGCTAAAGGTAAACACAATGAAAAGTAATAACACTGTGAGTTTCTGGAAATTATTATGGTATACAAACTAGTGAGAGACAGTGTGGCAAGAAGAGAGGAGTCAGAAATAATGATCATCATCAACAACTGGTTGTCCCATAAGTTGCTATGTGCTAGGCTGTGAGCTGAGCATTTCAGATTGATTACTTAATTTAATTTGTAAAGCACCTAAGTTTCATTTTTGCTTCTTAAAGTCAACTCTTGATATCTGAAAAGTATTAAAATGTGTAAAATAAAATTACAACAAAATTCTGAAAAATGCCAAAATTAAGAAGTAACTGTGATATTTTCCAAGTCATATCACCAAAGAATTAGCATATATTATTAATGACTGAGTCTATAAATACAGTTCAGTAATTTTGTAAGATATAATTAAATTCAACGTGGAATGTGCTTTTTTATCATTCATGATTTTAACTTACTAGAATTTCTGAAAATTGTTTCTTTTCTATATTCCTTTGGAAATTATTAACACTTAATATTATGATAATGAGATCATCACAAATCTAGAAAATTAGAGGCAGTTTTACTCTAGTCTTTGTGATTCAATTAGATACTCTGATTAAATTATATGTTTTTGTTCAACTTTAACAGGAATTTCATTTTCACACATTTAAGCACGACACACAACTGCCAGGTTATATTGTTAGCCAAATTTAGCATTTTGAGGTATTTAGTAAAAATTAACATAGTGCCTTTTATTTTTTTTTTTTTTTAAAGATTTTATTTATTTATTTGACAGAGAGAGACACAGTGAGAGAGGGAACACAGCAGGGGGAGTGGGAGAGGGAGAAGCAGGCTTCCCGCTGAGCAGGGAGCCCGATGCGGGGCTCGATCCCAGGACCCTGAGATCATGACCTGAGCCGAAGGCAGATGCTTAACAACTGAGCCACCCAGGCGCCCCCATAGTGCCTTTTAACGGGGATAGCCATTAACCTTTTTAAAATAGCTAAAATATAAATACTAATAATACTTTAAAATTCATTTTCTTTAGAAGAAATTTTTAAAGTTTCAAGTTTTCTTCTGAGATAAACCTATTTCACCACTGGAGGAAAAAAAAAATTTAAGAGGGTTTAAGCAACTTTTCAGTATGAAAAGCTGAACCTATCAGAGCCAGGAAAGATCACGTAAGGCTGGATTTTCCAGTATCTGCTTCTTCAACTTCTTGCCACCAAGACCTGCTCCAGGATCCTGGCCTCGGGCAGATGCAGCACGAGTGAGTTTAGAGACAACAAATGGCACCAGGGAAAGCTAAGCCAATTAAAGACTAGGACTGTGAGTAACTGTTCTCTGTATCCCCTACCACGAAACAAAAGGGCTTTGTTTCCTACACCGGCTCCAGAAGGTTTGTCAAGCAAACTTTAAAAGCAATTCTGGAAGGCTAGGAGTGAAACAGACTGCGGCTGCTAAGTCAGTTCGCACTGGTTGGCCCTGGATTTCTCTCATGGAGTCTCACTTTCTCACTATTTCAGTTAGCCATCCCTTCCCCTATCAAACTTTCAATACGGAACACACAGCAACTTTGCCAACAACAGAATGATCAAGACACCTCTGTTCCGATGGGACGCTGACAATGCCTTGTTCCTGGTCTGGCCGCTCCATGACTTTTTCCATTGTCCATCTTTTACCCAGACGTCATTACAAGTGGCTATCACTTCAAGTTATCTATGCAGGATATCTAGTACAATGCTCAAAATATGGTAGACACTCAAGAAAAGTTAATTAGATAAAAGCCTATTACAAAATAATTTCATTATGTTAAGTATGTCCTCCTGTGATGTACTGAAGCTATTGCTTTCTTAGAAAGCTCCATTTTTAAGATAGGGCAAAAGTATACTTCAGCACATCCCACAACAATTTAAATACGAAATAATAGACTCCAAGCTGAGGTTATTTTAATGTAGATTTGACAATAAGATATCCATGATAAGAGCAAATTGCTAAGTTATACTCCATTAAAGAAACTGCACAGATTTTGGCTGCCCAAACATTGGACATATGTTTTAGTGAATGTAGCCTTTAAAGATTTTAACACAATTCAACCAGGAAAACTGTTAAGCTGTTATTCCAGGAGAAAATGATACAGACAAGCAGACCATTAGGTTTCCAAATGCCCAAACGTGTAACACTGACATCCAAAAAACAAAAAACATATATTTTCTTAATTTCTTACACAAACTCCATGGCAAAACTTTCTCCTACAGAGCACTTCAACCTGACCAACACGAAGTTCAGCGGCCTATTCTAACTGCTGATAAGATAAATTAGGAAAGTAACACTTTGGATAGGCAATTCATACCCTTTTTAAACATTTTCTATCTGAATATAAAGCTAATGAAAAGCAAAAGAAACACCAAAGCCGGCCTTTACCACTTCCTTTTGAAACAAAATGTTTATAAATACACACAAGCAAAAGTAATAGTAAAATCACACACCTGTGTTTCATTAACCAAAAACGTATTAATCAA